ATGATCTACAACCGGATTGCAAAAAGTCAACCGGTTTGAAACCGGTTTCTGATCACGTAACCGGCTTGGAGCACTAACAGTATATTTTATTGTGAAACCAATTTAACCTTTAAATCACATATTTTTTTTAATATATTTGTGACTATATAGAGGTAAACCTTTTACAATCACACTTTTATATAGTCACTCATTTTTATGAAATCAATTATGTGACTATATACGATCTGACTGTAATTACTTATAATCAAGATTTTTTGTATTCATTGGGATGATTCCAGAATTTGGTGTTTCACACAAAACTGTAGAGTATAGTTTTGAATGTAAGTTTAGAGTATAATTCTTTATTTAATGTATGTATGGTAGGTATACTTTAAAAACTATATAAATAGTCCATACTATGGTGTCTAATACTATAATTATATGAAAATAAATACTATACATACATTCAAACCCATATTATACGAGTTTGCTATATACCTAGCGGGTATACATATAAATTGTACTGTACGATTAGTTAAATTATACTATATAAATGACAATCTTTGAAATCGTATAACAATAATTGATACTAATTTTTGTGTAATGTACTGATTTTGATCGCTAATCGAAATAGAATACTGAATTAATAAAAATTTTTTATTTTTTTTTAAATAAAAACGCGTCTATAAACATAATAACAAATATACATCTCTTATAAATCTTTGTTAAAATGGTAGAAAATCATATAGAAATTGATAAAGAGCTTGTTGAAGAGGACGTTAAAGGCTGAAAGGCGTTAAATAAGTCATTTAGATTATCAATTATATATAGATATTAATTATTGTATATTATATAACATGATTTGCATAAAAATATCATAACTTATACTTTAATATATATATGAATAGGTGCTATAATAGGCCAAAAATAAATATGAAATTAGACTTTTATATATTTAATTTAAATTATAACTAATTAATAAATAAATTTTTTAAATTAATTATTAGTGGTCTATTAAAATTGCCAAATTTGACCAAAAGTTAACAGCATCTGAAGTTTGTTATTATATAGAATTTCAAGAATATCCTAATACATCAGAACCTGGTTTTTCAAGTGTATATAATGTATCAGGAAGGGATGAAAATGAAGTACTAAAAGCATTTTCTATGATGAATATTCAATATTCTTATGGAGGTAGTAGTACAACCCATATAGTAAAAAATTGTAATTTCTTTCCTGAATATGAAGTATCTAAGGAAAAAAGAAAATGTTTTAGCATAAAGATGTGTGAATTTACATCTAAAGAATTAGATGTATCATATATCTGTAGATTTCACCTTATCACTTTTTAAAAATACATTTAATACTAATGAAAATTTTTTTGAAAAGACAACACTTTGGTAATAATTAATTAATTTATTTATTTTAATATTAATTTGAATAAATTTGTTAATTTAAAAATTTTATTTATACTAGTATATTTGCTAAAGTGCATGAATACAAATGTGTATATGTTGATTGAAATGGAATACGGTGTGATGGCACATCAAAATTAGGCGAATTTACACAAGTATATATTGTGTTTTATTTATTTATTTATTTATTTTTTAATAATTATTTTTTTTACAAACTGTTAGGTAGTTGGTTTAATATCATCAAAAAAGAAGTTTATTGGTTGTGCTAAATGGTGATCTGGTTAACTATTCACTATAATGTTGATTTGAAATTATTGGAAAGTATATTTGAAAAGCATTCTTATCATCCTTGTGGTATTGATTTTGAGGTATATTTTATTTAATTTAAGCATTTATATAATAAGTAATGAATTAGATTAATATTTATATTTATATTAAAGAAAAATGAATCTGATATAATGGAAGAATGTTTTACAGTATATCGTTCTGATGAATGTCATAAGTATTAAATTAATAATTTATTATTTATTAATTAATATTTAAATTAATAATTTTTAATTATATTTAAAGCATTTTTACATAAAGTTGGAGATCATATTGTTAAAGAAATAGTGAAGAAGTCAACTACATGTACAGTCAAATTGTACCATATAACCCCAAAAAATTTAAAGAAGTGTCCATTTATTGTGACTATTTCTGTAGGACAACATAATCACCCACCTCTGCTACCTTGAAAAATACCATATAATATAAAAAACTAACTTCAAAAAATTATTAATAATGAGCATATTCTTTGATCTAATAGCAAGAAAATTTTTAACAGGTATAATATAATATATTTTTATAATTATTATAAGGATTAATAATTTATAATTTTTTTTTATAAATAGGATCTATGATTCAAACTTATTTAAATGGAAAGCCAATAAGTGATTTGCATTTATCGCTAAACAATCAATCCAAAATTAATTATTATATTGAAAAAACTAGGCATTCCAAATACCCATTCGGTCAAAATATTTTGGGAGTTACGTATGATTTATAAAACATAAAAAAGGTGGTGATTTATATATAAGATCAATTTGTAAGTATATTTCTTTAAATTTAAAATTTAAATATACAATTAATGTATAAAATAAATATATTTTAATTTTTATTTAGGATTTCTTGATAATAGGCAATATATTATTTACGTGATACTAAAAAAAATTTCAAGCACTTTCAGAGTTAACATATATAGAAATTGACATAGCATTTAAAAGGATACATGGCATTACAAATGAATGGGAAGTATCGGCCTATTCATCTTAAGCACAAAAGAGTAAGTAAAATATTTATTTTTAATATTCAATTAGGTTTTTTATAATTATTTAATTTATTATTTAATGTATTATAGCTTTAACATTTGCTCGAGTATTTGCAAATATTGAGACAGTTGAAGCATATCAAAACTTATTTGAAGACTTGTTTAGTTGTATTGAAAGAGATACAGGCGAATTCTTTAATTTTTATCATACACATCAGAAAGGATTGGGTTGTGTAATTGCAGATAAGATTTATCATTTTATATACAGAAGGTCTCCAAAAGTTTACGCACACTTTTTTCGTGCGAATTTACTCAAAATTTTATTAAAAAATTAAGCAATTGACAAATAATAAATAATGTTCCTAGAAAATTAAAATATATATTTTATTAAGGTTTAATACTTGGTTAGACCACCATTTGCATTTATTACTGCCTGAATTCGTCGAGGCATACTTTCGACTAAATTTTCAATTTTTTCAGAAGTAATTGATTTCCAAGCCTTTCGTACTTGTCTTCGAAGGATTTTTTTAATTTCGTCCTATAGATTTTTGATCGGGTTAAGGTCAGAGCTTTGAGCAGGCTATTTAAGGGTTTGGATATTTTTTTGCACGAAATTCTGCAACAGTTTTGCTTTTGTGACAAGGAGCATTATCTTCTTGAAAAATACCATTCCCATTTGGAAAAATTCACTTCATAGTAGGGATAACATGCTTGCGTATAGTTTCAAGATACACTGCACCATTTACAGAACTAACTAAAAGGACAATTGGCCCTAATCCTTGTGCAGAAAAACATCCCCAGAACATCTGACTTGGACTGTGCTTTACTGTCGCTGAAACACAAGCAGATAACTATTCCTCAGATGGTTCTCGCCAAACCTGGCTAGTACGTGATTGTTGAAACTGAGAAAAGGTTGATTCATCAGTCCAAAGAACCTTTTTCCAGTCTTGCATAGTCCAGTGTGCATGCTCTTGTGCCCATGCAAGTCGCTTCACCATGTTTTCAGGTGAAATGAATGGTTTTCACCTAGCTGTACAATTATTTAATCTAATAATATGAAGTGTTCGATGGATGGTAGGGGTAGAAGCATCCTGCCCTAACTTCTTTTTCCAAAAAGCTTGTACTTCACAGGTACATTTGCGGCCATATTTTTTCTTTGTAACCAATCGTTTAAGTTGGTTACGATTTGGAGTTGTAAAAAGGCGCGGTCGCCCAGAACGTGGCTTTGTATCAGTAGACCCAATAGCTTTATGCCTTCTTATACAAGCTGAAACTGCAAAGGGTCCACATCCTACAGTTTCTGCAATTTTTCTGCATGAATGGCCAAGTTGATGTCCATAAAGAATAGCGCCTTTTTGGGACTCAGTAAGATCTTTTCCTTTACCCATTTTTTTAAAGTAAAGGTTAAAAAATTTTTTTTGTTTTTTTTTTGGTTTATTTATTCTTTTTAAATTAGTGTGAGAAAATTCACACGGTCGTCACAAATTATGAGTGCATAAAACAAATCATGCGGGATTTACGATTTTTGCGAAGTTTGCGATGTTTATATATTTATGATGTTGGTGATATATTTAGATGAAAATGGTGGCCCGATCAAATAATAAACAGCTTAGTATAAAGTTTAATTTACTATTCTAGAAACAATATTTATTATTTGATGATCATTTGCTTGCTTAATAAAAATATTATTAAAATTCATACAAAAAAAGTGTGCGTAAACTTTTGGAGACCATCTGTATTTAAATTATTTTTGAAATAATATTAAAAAAATAATTTTAAAAAGGTTTAGGTCAATTTTTAAATTCGAAATATCCACATTTAACACCAATAGAACATTTATAAACTCTGTCAAATGCATTATAAACGGTAAATAAAATTATTTTTTTATAAAATAATTAATTAATTATATCTAAACTATTGTATTATAATTATTTGTTTAGAAATATTTATAAAAACAAACAATTATCGAGAGAAATTCGAAATGCTATGTATTTAATACCTACATTAAATATGCAAGAAGAAGTTTTAACTATATTGAATAACATTAGGTAATTATTAAAAATAATATTTACTGTATTAACTGTGGTTTTTTAAAGTTTAAATAAATAATCAACTATTTATTTTTTTATAGCTTGGCAAAGGATAAACTAATTCCATGGGTATTATCAGAGATATCTTGCGCATTTACTAAAATGTGTCATTTTATTTGGAATCAATCTCCAAATAATACTAATGTTGGAGAAAGTGCGCATGCTAATGTAAATCATGATGGACGTAATCTTTCTCTTCTTGCTGGTATTATTAGGTAAGTATATATATATTTTAATTATATATTTATATATTTATTATTTAATTAATTTTAATTCTTATCTCAATTTTTCTTTTAAGAGGATGTAATTTTGATAAACGACAGTGGGAGAGTGTATATATTTATGAAAAGTATAATGTTCCAAATTCCTATCGAAATAAATCAGAATTAAATCGGTCTATTTTATCCGAAAAAAGAGCAGGTAAACTTTATTATACCTATTTAGACATTTAATATTATTTATTTATTAAGGAAAAATCACCCTCAAAAAAAAAACAAAGAAATAATTCGAAAAATAAGGAAAATATAGTTGATATTGAGTTTAATGAAAATTACCGCCTTGAAACACAAAAAAGAATGAATGATTTAGCGCAATAAATACAAACTATTCAAAAGAAAAAAATGACGAGCTTGAAAGAGAAATTATGTTAATTGAAAAAAGAAATCAAATGTTAGGTATATAGTTTTCGGTATTTGTTTTATAATATTTTAATGCAATAATTGGATAAAGTGCGAAAAAGACGAACATTTTTATAATAAATCATAAAGAGAAAAATTATATAAATTGAATAATAAATTCTTAAATTTACGAATAATAAATTTATTATTTTTTTTTTATTTTTTTTCAAATATTTGATTATTTTTCGTTTTATAAAGTCACATGACTAATAAGCTTTTACCTGTTCTGTACGATTAATCTCGAAAATTCATACAGTACAGTTTAGCACTTAAATAAGTAATATTATGTATTGTACTAATTTTTAATATATGAGTAGTACAGTACAGTTTATCTACATATCTATATCCAGCATTCGTCATTAAATTTGCATAAGTTCTTAAAGCAAGAATAAACCGTGAAACACATTATTAATTGCAAGTGATTACTTATCAAAAATTTAAACCTCGGGCACAATATACGGAAGTAAATTTTATCTGATTCACTTGATTCTCCAGCCAGTTTACTTAAACCCAATTCACCTATTATGGCAACACCATAAAAACAAGTTACCATTATGGAAATCACCATCAAACAAATTTCATCATGAAATCTTTTGTCTTTTTCTATATATTACCAGTGTTGGCAATTGGACCAATTGGACTTAGTAAAACTGCGCCACAAGTTGAATTGGACATATGAATTTTATATGTCCAATTGTCCAATTCATGCAATTGGAATGATAAAATTGCCAACACTGTATATTACATATTTAAGGTTACATTTATTTATCGTTGCAAGCTGATACGTTCCATTTCTTCTAATATAATCATACAATTGGATACATCTGGACCTTGTGTATAAACAAATCGCATTATTATTGCTAAATAAACAAATTTTTAATAATTTTTCCAATAAATAAACCATTAAGAAAGATTAATTTTGGTAGTTTTGTATATTCAGGTGATAAAAATATAAATTTATTACTTCGTTTAAAAAGCGATGTCAAAATCCCGAGAAAATCATTATCCCCAAATTAAAGGTTGGAACCGGTTAATTTTTAACCGGTGGGTTAATTAACGGTTAAATGTTAACTGGCTAAAGATTTTTAGACCGTTTCAACCTATACCCCGAATTTCATGATCAAAAACGTCATATCTCAAGTGAAATAAGTCAATTGCATGAGAAACCGATTCTTTTTTTAATGGTTAGAAACTGATCGGGAATTATAACTTTTAATGTGATAATATTTTTCGAGGTATGCACAAATAATATACAATGCACAATATTATTTATATTTATCGTATTAAGGTGAATTCTATGTCTCACGTTGTGCCATCTCGAATAGTAATTTAAATTTATGAACTACTAAAATCATCAAATAATTTATTGACTTTGTAAATAAATGATGTCGTTTTATTATGCTTACTATCAGATCCTAACAGATTTCATAAGTTAATGTTTTAATAGTTTTTGATATAAAAAATTTTTTTAAAATATTTAGTTATTCCATCGCTTGAAATCATCATTATATGATCTAATTAATAATGATAAATCTGGCAATGAAAAAGTAGGTACTTATAATTTGTCTGAGAAAGACAAGTTATCGGGCTTAATAGAAAAACGAATGTACGCTAGCATATGGTAGAATTTTTCAGCAGTTATCAAAACTTCAAGATGGTTGCATTGAAAGAACGCTAAAACAAACATACATGTCATGTATTACAAAATACAAATAAAATTTAACAACATTTTAATGTTTATTTATAATTCCTGCGTAAAACTGATCACAAAAAATAGTACGAAATGTTCATGTGCGCGCAGTACGGAATGTCTATACATTGGTTCCTTATTAATTTCGACTGAAAATGAAATAATTATTATTAAATTATCAAGGAATATGTTATAAACAAAAAAAAAAAAAAAAGGAATGGTTAAAATATATTAAAACATAATAATTTGGAATACTTCATAATCTTCCATAATAAATGCATCTTCAGCTTCATTATCTCTTATTTTTTTTTTATAATAACGTTTCTGACAAAAATTGCTCTCATAATCTGTTAGTTCATTTGATGATGTTGTACAAAGATCGTATCCAAAACATGGTCCAGATTTCCTGTTAGATAATAATGCATTTTCAAAATTCTTTACGTTACTTAGAATCGCATCCTTGATAAAGTTATCCTTATTTTTTAAAGAAAAAATAAAACTATCTTTGGTTTCACACCATCCATAAGTAGATTTCCATATCAGAGGATTGTATCCACCAATAATTTCTTCTGTTCCTTTTATTTTAATGTAGGTGACAGTCATAGGTTTATTATCGCATAATTTGTGAAACTTTTTAGGAGTAAATCCGTCTCGACTCCCTCTCAATAGTAATTCAAATTTATATGGCAAATATAATTCT